GTTGCAATCATGCTAGTGCATAATAAAATTAAGTTACTTACACTAATTACTTTCTTCTATATGCTAGTGTACTCAAATTCAGTCCATTTCTTGTGGGAAATAAACCAAAAATATTGATGACTCAGCCTGCACTACACAGCTGTTTGTCCAGTCAGATTCAATTCAGAATGAGTATGTCCCTCCGCTAATGCTGCTTTCACGTGATATTGGAATGATCGTAAATTATTGTTTCCTAGTTGGAAATTGGAACATGGCGGTGGAGATTACTGCTGTAATGACTTTGCAATGTAATGATTTTTATTATTTTTTTTAATCATTTTTTCCCCTATTCTTTCCAACAACAAATTTCATAGAATTCGTAATTTTGACTTAAAGGGATAGTTCACCCAAAAATGAAAATTACTCCATGATTTACTCACCCTCAAGCCATCCTACATGTATATGACTTTCTTCTTTCAAACAAATACAATCAGAGTTATATTAAAAAATGTCTTGTCTCTTCCAAGCTTTATAATGGCAGTGAATAGGGGTCGAGATTTTGAAGCCCAAAAAGTACTCCTCACGGATCCGAGGGGTTAATAAAGGCCTTCTGAAGCGAAGTGATGCGTTAGTTTAAGAAAAATATCCATATTTGAAACTTTATAAACCGTAATCTCCAGCTTCTGCTAACTGTAATATTCATGTTCACTAGAGAGTGGCGTTCCAGCGGATGACGTTGGCGTAGCGTAAGCTCTGGTGAGAATATGCTAGTCTAGCAAGAACCAAGTTTTGTTTACAGCAAAGGAAAACCAGTCTCCTCTTGGCTTATGTTAAAATCCTTCGACATTTTCCTTTACAAATCCTCATTTTGTACTTATAATTTGTGACTGGTGTTTTGTTTTGTTTTGCTCTCTCCTCTGTGCTTTTGCGTTCGTAACTTCTCACTGGAGCTTATGCTATATCTACGTCCTACGTTATCCGCTGGAACGCCACTCTCTCATGAATGCGTGTACACCAGTTATTTTCTTATTTTACTTATTTTATTATACTTATTTTCTATTTTCTTACACAAACGCATCACTTCACTTCAGAAGGCTTTTATTAACGCCACAGAGCCGTGTGGAATACTTTTATGATGGATGAATGCACTTTTTTGGGCTTCAAAATCTCGACTCCCATTCACTGCCATTATAAAGCTTGGAAGAGCCAGGACATTTTTATTGTATTCGTTTGTATTCGTGTGAAAGAAGTCATATACACCTAGGATGGCTTGAGGGTAAGTAAATCATGGGGTAATTTCCATTTTTTGGTAAACTATCCTTTGGAAGTTGGACATTTATGATAGCACGACTACATAGAAAATCATGGATTTGTCAGCAAAGAAAAGAAAGACCATAGAAGAAAGTAAGTCATACAGGTTTGGAACAATATGAGGATGAATAAATGATTACAGATTTTTCGTTTTTGGCTGAACTATCCCTGTAAATACAAATAAACCATTGCTAATGCTAAGCTTATTTTCAGTGGGCTGAACTTGATTGTGTACCATATGTTTCACATCTAGCAATAAAAGGCATATTTCAGTGATGATCCAAAGTAGCTAACATTTCTTGGCCATTGCGCACGACATGACCTGGGAAATGTTTCACAGATTCGAAAAATCTTTTGTTTATCTCACCAAGTGTGTTTTTTTTTTGTTTTTTTTTGCAAATATGATTTATTTTGAAGCAATATTCTCATCAGTTTTCTATCAGCTGTGACATATAAATCTGCGTGTTTTTTATATTTTATCCAAGGGCATTTTTTTTACCTTTATAGAGGGCATTTTCCCACTAATCTCATTAATACTTCCATTTCAAATTCTTACATTTGATCTATAAATTAAATTATAATAATGTGATTATCTATACGTTATCAAAATAAATCATTTACACTGAAAAATACAACTGCGTTAAATAATATTATGAGATTCATTTAAATATTTTTGAATATACAAACAAGAAATGATGGTGGAAATGATACTTTTCAACTAAATTAAAACGCCAGTAGGTGCCAGTAGTGAGCGTTTAATGAGTGAGTCATTGAGTCGTTCATTCAAACGATTAGTTCAAACGGCAGATTCATCAGATGTTTATACATAGGCTAATGAAACTTTGGCTCAACCGTTTCATTCAAAACACGGAATCAATCAGCAATGAATCGGCTGTTTGCTGTGAGATGTGCTGTGTTTCCTCCTCAAATGTAAGTGACCTAATATTATTGTATTTGCTTATTGAACTGTTTATAGAACTATTTAACAGTTGTAATCGTGAAAACATTGTGTGATGTTGCCTAACTAACTGTATTTTAAACATAAAAACTTTCCATTTTTAATTTTTACCTCAGGAAACTGAGTTTCTTAGTGTTGGGCATTTTGATTTCTCCAGGAGAGGCAGCGCAACCTTATTCTGTCAATAGGTGCATTATATACAGTAGCTATATCCACTATTTGCCACTTAGTCTAAATGTAATAAAATCAAAATAATACTTGCTTTTTGGTGTTTACATAGTTATTTTTAGTTACTGATGTTTTAATCATGTTACTTGTCTGGCATTAATGAAGCGTTAATGTCGAGCCCTGGAGTCTATGGGCCTAGGGCTCAGCCCCGAGCTCTATGGGCTCAGCCCCGGACGGCCCCGCCCAGTTTAAACCCTGTATAGGAGTACTCTGTGCTCACATGGGGGGTAAGAGTGCTTTTGTACAGGAGCACGGGCTCTGCAAAAGTGTTTACTAGCCCTCAGTATTGTTCTGTTGTATGAAAACAGTACAAAGGTATGATCGATTAGCAGGCGCTGAACTTGTTTGACTTTGCGCTGTAGGTAGTCTTGAGTGAAAAAGAAGGGGAGGGTTGGCCAGTCGAAGCCTTGGCACTCATGTCCCAGGCTCTGTGGGTTTGTGGCGATCGGCATCACCGATGCCAAGAAATTTGCTGTGATTTGGTGGCACCATCTACCAATGACCACATTGCAATATATTGATCAACTGCTTCGTTATTTCATCTAAATGTTTATGCCATAATTTTTATCGAACACTAGCACCATTTACTATAGTCTGTCTTCCAAAATCAATGCCCACTGATAAAAAAAAATATTTAAAAAAACGATTTTTTTGAGTGAATGTGAAAGTCAGACATCCGTACATGTTAATAATGCAAAAGGAGAGTAAGTACAGGCTGAAAGCTCTAAACAGCTTGTGTAGACCTGCCACAATTTTACTGCCAATTTAAGTCAGTTTCGTCATTAAAAAAACAACAGAGCAGAGTTTCCGCCTGCTGTCCTTGCTCTTGCACCATTTTTTCACTATATATCCCCCATAGCGCCATATACACACATACCAGCCATATTAAGATTCTAAAGAGACACTGTCATCCTGTCTCAAGTGGGAAGAAAACATTGTCAGGAAGGTACTGGCTTTAATGAGTGGCAGGGTTACCTACCACGGTGAAATCTTAATGAGAGATGGTGCTTTTTGTTGTGCGTTCTCGCAGAAATAGAGGAGAGGTCTACACGCTGCATTATAGAGCCATATAGAAAAAGGTCTCTCAACAGATTACGTTATTTTGTGAATGAGATTTTTATGGATGAAACAGAAGCCAGTGTGTTTGTGTTTATCTAACAAGATGGATGAAATTGTCTTATAGGCCATAAGGTGAAGCCGTTTTTCTCGGATTGGAGTGGGCGCCTCCTGCCGAGCCGGCCAGAAGCCGTCTGGATGAGTGGTACCTCCAGTCGGATCGCAGCCGAAAGGACACCCCGCGGAGGCCCGGCCCCTTTTTCCCCAAGGTGCACGATGAGATAACGAAGTCATGGAATGCACCGCTCAAAAGTCGAGTGCAAAACTCGGGATCCTCCCTCTAGGCCGTAAGGTGAAGCCGTTTTTCGTTTAATCCCGTTCCCATATATGGGGCACTAAATTCTTCTCATTCCAATAAAAAGATCTATTGGTTTTGAGCGAGAAAATAAAAGTTCTCCATGTATAATCCTGCAGTTTATTTTTTATAAGTGTTTAAAGTCGGCAATAGTTCCTTACTCGCGTAATCATATTTTGATCATAAGTGATTAGGCTTCGCGTCACGTGTGGGAAGCACGACCATTAAGGCGGCCGCTTTTTGGAACGACATGTAAACATGAGTCCAAGATGTCTGCGCCCTTGTTGTCAGTATCGAGTAGCGAAGAAGAGGAAATTACAGCCAGACCTCCTTCAAAACTCCGTAAAAACGATTATAAACAATGCTATATGCATCTCACGTCCATAAAGAAAGAAGAAACAAAGGATTTTACATGCACACGATGGGATACATTCAGAAATAGCATCAAACGGTGGCTTGGTTTGCAGGGTGAGAATCAGAGAATAGCAGAAACATACAAACATTGTCTAGAAATCGAGTTTGAAAATGTTCCCGAAGACGCTGGGTTTCACTCCACTTGCTACAGGCGTTTCATTGACAAAAAGCGCTTGGATGCGGCAGAGAAACGTGTCACACAGC